ATCATATGGTTTTTGTCCTTTACTCTATTGATATAGTGTATTACATTGATTGATTTGCATATGTTGAACCAGCCCTGCATCCCTGGGATGAATCCCACTTGGTCAGAGTGCATGATCTTCTTGATGATCTGCATTCTATGTACTAGGATCTTATTAAGGATTTTTGTATCTAAGTTCATTTTTGATATTGGCCTATAGTTCTCTTTTTCGGTTGGGTTTTTCACTGCTTTGTGGATCAAGGTGATGGTTGCTTCCAGGAATGAATTTGAGAGTATTTCTTCCCTTTCAATTTCATTGAAGAGTTTAAATAGTAATAGCAGTAGTTCCTCTCTAAATGTCTTGTAGAATTCAGCAGTGAAGCCATCAGTACCCAAGCTTTTCTTAGTTGGTAAGTTTTTAATTATGTTTTCAATTTCATTGATTGATATTGGGTTGTTTAGTATCTTTAGGTCTTCTTCGTTCAACTTTGGTAATTCATACATGTCTAGGAATCTGTCCATTTCTTCTGCATTTTCTTTCTCATCGGCATATAGGTTCTGGAAGTAGATATTGATGATCCTCTAGATTTCTGCTGGGTCTGTTGTAATTTCATCCTTTTCATTCCTAATTGCATGGATTTGGGCCTTTCCTTTTCCTGATAAGGTTGACTAGGGTTTGTCAATTTTGTTTATTCTATAGAAGAACCAACTCTTGGCTTCATTGATTTTTTTTGTATCATTCTCTTAGTCTCCATTGCACTGATTTCTGTTCTGATCTTTATAATTTACTCCCTTATATGAGCTTTGGATTTGTCCTGCTCTTCTTTTTCTAGAAGCTAGAGCTTCAACATCAGGTTGTTTAGTTGGGCTCGCTCTGTTTTTCTAGTATAAGTGTTCACTGCTATAAATTTCCCTCATAAGTTTGCTTTCATTGTGTCCCACAGATTCTGGTGTGTTGTATTCTCATTGTCACTTAATTGAAGGAACTGTCTGATTTCTTCTTAACTTTCTCTGTGGCCCACTGGTTATTCAGAAGTGTGTTGTTCAATTTCCACGTGTTTATGAAATTTTTGTAGTTTCTTTTGCTATTGATCTTTTATCCATTGCACTATGGTCTGATAATGTATAGGGGATAACTTCAATTCCTTTGCACTTATGTAGATATGTTCTGTGAACAAGTATGTGGTTTATTTTTGAGAACAACCCATGTGCAGCTGAAAAGAATTTGTAGTCTGATTTTGTGGGGTGGAACACTCTATAAACATCTGTTAAGTTCATTTGTTCGAGACTTTGATTGAGTTCTAGTATTTCGTTGCTTATTTTTTTGTCTAGTTGATCTATTTGTGACAGTGGGGTATTGAGGTCCCCCACTACTATTATATTATTGCTTTTATGATTTTTCATGTTCATTAGTATGTGTTTTATATAGTTGTGAGCACTAGTGTTTGGTGCATAGATATTTATGATTGTCATCTCTTCCTCTTGGATTGTCTCTTTACAAGAATATAGTGTCCTTCTTCGTCTCTCTTAATCAGTGTTGGTTTGAAATCCACATGATCTGCAAAGAGGATAGCTAATCCTGCTTTTTTTTTGGGGTTCCCGTCGCATGGAGTATTGTTTTCCACCCTTTAACTTTCAGTCTATGAGTTTCTTTTTGAATGAAGTGTGTTTCTTGTATGCAGCATATTGTTGGATTTTGCTTCTTGACCCATTCTGCCAGTCTATTTCTTTTGATTGGTGAATTGAGACCATTAACATTGATGGATATAAGTGATATGTATTGACTTATCATTGTCATGACTTTTTCTTTTTGTTAGATTCTCCCCTTTTGTGTTTAATTTCTTGTTGTGCCCAATGGATTCATTCTGCTGGGCTTCCTGGGGTTGTGATCCTCATTGTCTTTTCCTAGGATACTGTCTAAAATTTTTTGGAGTGCGTGTTTGGTATTCATGAAGTTCCTAAGATGGTCTTTGTCACAAAAGTTTCTTATTTCTCCATCAATTTTGAAAGATAGTTTTGCAGGGTACATCAACGTGGGTTGAGGCTGTTTTCCTTTAGGACTTGGAATTCATCATTCCAATTTCTTCTTGCCTTAAGGGTTTGCATTGAGAAGTCTGCTGTGATTCTGATGGGCTTTCCTTTGTATGTGATTTGTTTCTTTTCTCTAACTGCTTGTAGAATTTTGCTCTTCGGTTGGGTTTCTGGAGTCTTAACAATTATATGCCTGTGTGTAGATTTATTTTGATCAAGGCTAGTTGGAGTCCTATATGCCTCACTCATCTGTATGTCAAGTTCTTTACCCCTTCTTGGGCAGTTTTCTGCCATCCCTTCTCTGAACAGTTTTTTTTTTAATGTCATCTGCATGCTCTCCTGTTCATTGGCTCTGATCAGTCTTATGTTATTCTTCTTTGCATCATTTAGCAGCTGCTGGATTGATGTCTTGTGGTCCCTTACAATTTTAAAGCAATTTTTCTTTTCCTGATCACTAATTGCAATCTTATCTTCTATGTCTGAAATTCTGTCCTCATATTGGCTTATTCTGCTGGGTAGACTTTCAATGGAGTTTTAATCTCCTGGAAATCTGTTTGCATCTGTTTTATGGATTCCATTTATTTCCTATGTTGGGATTCCATCATGTTCCTCAGCTCCTGTATTTTTTTAATCTGTGTCCTCTATACATTTATTAATGATATCTTGCACTATGGGCACAGTCTCTGCTGATACCTGAAAAATTATTTGTGATTTCATTTTTTCCAGTTTCTCTTTTGTTGCCAGTTCAGGGAGTCCAGGTCATTAGTGTTCCATCTCGTTTCCCTTTGGGGTTGCCTTAGGTGATCTGGAAGTCTGTTTTTGAGGCTTGTTTATGTGTCTTCTCATTTCTATGGCAGTATGGTGGTGAAGTGCTGCCGGCACCCATGTGGCTCATCTCCTCTGTGCTGGGAGCTGTGGTA